GCCCAATGTGCCAAGTCCTGATTAGTTCTACCCTCTTAATGAAGAGAATGCAGGATGCCATCTGAACCTTCCAATTCAAACTCCCCCACCTTATTCAGGCCTGGACAGCTGCACTGCCCAGTCCTCACGGGCCTCTTTGCCTCCGATCTCTTTTCCATTCCACTTCCCAGAATGATGGTCGGACTCAGGCTCCTCAGGTGTGCCTGCCCAGACACTCGCGAGCAGCAGCACAGCATGCTCACCCGGCTCAGGACCAGGGCTCCAGTTCCGACACAGAGTAGGCACCGAACTGTTACTGGATAAAGTCCCACCACTACCCTGTTCACAGAGGCTCTGAGCCGAAGAACAGTCAGATTCTCACTTTTCTCACCAGACCAATCCTTCAAAATATGCCTTTAGTACGCTGCTAGCCACTTGCTTCAGACCTTGCCATTTCCTGGGCCTAGAATAATCTCATCAACTCCAGCTTATATCCCTAAACTATTTCCTATTTAGAAAGCTCCCAAACCCAGAGTCTTTTCTCCCTGACAGTAATACCTTGCAGAATCTTAAAACACTCTAATGGTTATTACACTGTCTTGTTCTCAAGTCACTTACACAATTAATCTTATGCCTCTCATTCAGGGACTTCTTATCATCTTTGTGTCTTTACATGACTCTAGCATTAACAGCCAAAATCAACATTAGCAATTTGGTACTATCTATTAAAATGTTAAATGTCCATAATCCTATGATAAAACAACTACCCTGTGGATATAAACCCAAGGAACCCATGCACTATGCAGGAGCTGTTCTCAAGGGTCATCCATTATGAGAAGCAGAAATGGTCCAAATGTCCATCATCACAGGGATAACCAAGTACCCCATGGTATGGTTATTTTTGGAAATAGTACAAAACAATCATTTCAAAAAAAGGGGGAAGAATCTACATCCCCACAGAAGGTTGTGTTTACAAAGATGAAATAGGTATATATAGTTGAAGTTAAAACACATGTTGGGGGCTAGTGGGTGGCTCAGTTGGTTAAGTGTCTACCTTCAGCTCAAGTCACGATCCGAGACCCTGGGATGGAGCTCCTGCTCCCCGCCAGGCCTGCTTCTCCCTCTCCCTCTGCCTGCCACTCCCCTTGCTTATGCTCTCTGTCAAATAAATGAAGTCTTAAAAAAAAAACCCATGTAAATGCATTGCATGATCTTTTTTGGTGGGCCTGGGGTTGTGGGGAGTCACAGTTGAAAGGATTTTAGCTCTATTTGTAATGTTTGAATTTGCCAAGTATGTAATAACATTATTACTTGATAGTTTCAAATCAACTAAGTGAATGTATAAAACCACTTACAATATAACAAAATAAAGTTTAAATCCATGCGGAACACATCTTACCTGTGCAAAAAACTTTCTTTTGCTAGCTGAATTTGTAGTGTTCCACCTTTCCATTTTGTTTTATTTAAAACAGACATACCTATAAAGTAAAGAATTATTACTCAAGTACACGACAATGCAAAAACACATGGCAGCATACGCTTTTTCTAATTAATACCAAGAAAAAGAGACACAGAATAAAGAAACTGAGACCTGGGAAGAAAAGACCTAGGTCCTGGTCTCAGCTGAGCCATCTACCCCAGAAGTCCTTAAGCTCTTTATTGTCCAGCGTTCCTGGAAGGACTGAATGAAACAATGTGTAAAATGCAAAGTGAAATTTATCATTCCTCCACAAAGTGATGCCAGGAACCTCTGGTGAAACACCTGACATTTATTTAACGTTTTATGGTTATCTCCCACACCGAAACTAAAAAACATGAATGTAATTTCGGAGACTGAATTGGAGGACAATGAAATCCTATAGAACTTTTATTTATCATCCCACGGTAATTATTGCTGCGTGACTTGCAAGTAAATTAGGTGCAGACGACTAAACTGTGTTTCAACTCCTACGCGCCAGTAGCTGATTTTTCTCAATACCTGCTATCACCTTTGTTAGTAATAACAATGACCTGAATTTCTACATGGTCGGTACTACACTAAGTACCAACATATTACTCAATATAATTTTTGTGGCGATACCATGAGGTCAGCAGTATCTTTGTCATATGCCAGATGAGAAAATTGGGGCTTCTAGTTTAAACAACTTGTCACAGGTCACACAGCAAAGCTGATGTGTTCTTAACCACTACTTATTTCTCACTGAATGACAGGACAGATCAATTTTTTTTCCCCCAAGGAGAACAAAGAAGGCTGATGGCCCTCTTTGTCCATTAGCATGTTCTCTTTTGGGTGTCTTTGACTTTCCAGCCTCTAATAACTCGCACACATTCCGCATCAATGATCTCCCCCTCCTTCTTTGTTGAAGGCCAGTTTGCCCTCATCAGCTCTACTAAACTTACCAATAGAGATTTCATAATTTTAGGGATATCGTCTTATAAGAGCATACAGTGAAGTCCTCTCCTAATGGGGCTTAATGACAAGAATTAGCCGCCTGAGAAACGAACACACCAGGGAGGGAGAGTATGGCATAATATCCAGTGGGCTATGTGTTATCAGGCAGTTTCTATGAACATGTGTTCTCTTGTTCAAAATATTCGAGAATACTATTTTTGAGCAACGTGCTGCCCTATGTCTGCTGACACCAAATGGGATGGACCTAAACTTGCTGAATTGTAGGATGTTGGAATTCTCTCAACTATGGCTATTTCTATGGATGTTTTACAAGTGGCTGTTAAGGTTTAGATTTAGAACCAAAGTTATTTTAAGTTACACAGTTACATGAACTGGCAAATAGAATAAAAAGCATATAACAATCTTACATTTGTTCAGATCTGCTTCTGCTACTTCAATGTTGATATATGCAAAGACTTTCTGTGGGTTTCCTAAAAAAAAAAAAAAAATAATAATTTAAACTCTTACCCAGCGTATAATGTAAAATGATCAAGTTTCTAAACTTAGTGACTCTTAGAATCTTACTCTTTCAAAGAAAAATCTTGTTTAGTTCTCATTGGATACAAAGACTGCATTTTTCTAAACATATTTATCAAATTATTCCAAAAGAAATTAAGCCATCAGTTAAAGAAATGTTTCAATTGTTGTATGTTAGTAATATTCTGTACAACAGGACACCAACACCTAGCAAGTATTAGAATTCTAGCTTTGGAAATTGAAGGTTGCATATTTCAGAAAGCAGATGTCTTAGAATTTAGAAAGTCTTTTGATTTCAGAAATGTATTCTGGGCAGGTTCCACATTTTATATAACATCTTCAAGACACAGGGCAGGGGACTGGCACACACAGAAACGCATCTTACAATGAAACACATACAACTTTCAGCGTTAGGGCTGACATTCACTCTGGGGATCCATTATTTTGTGATACTAGATACAAATTTTATCTGCCTTTAACAACCCATGAAGGACTACAAACGTACCTTGGTCATCTTTCCGTGTGATGATCTCCACATCAGAAACTTCTCCAAATCTGCTGAACTGAGTTTGCAGGTCAGCCTTGGAAATGTTCTGGCCAAGGCCACCCACAAACAGGCGCTTCACTTCTTTGTTGGCTTTCATGAAGGCTTCGCAAACACTCAGTGTGCTCTAGTGAGAAAAACCATTTTCTATCTGTTTAGAAGAGTACTTTCCCTTGGTTCTTCTCCTATCTGAAAAAAGCACCCCCCCTTTTCCTGCACCTTCTAATGTCAAATTGGTGGCCTGCACCCGTTTCACTTCCTATTGCATTACTTCCAAATTTTATCCCTGAGACTCTGCTCAAGTCCTAAATCCATGTTTTCTACAAACACACTTTGGAACAGCATCTCTGGGCACATACAGACCCAGGTACAGGCAAACTCTTTCCCTCTACATGACCACAGTATTAGACTCTACCCCCTCTCACTTATTTACGCATATTTTAGGTGTTTTCCCTTTATTAATTCACACAGTCATTTATTCACTTTAACAAAAGCTGACAGAAATGGGATGTGGCCGGTTAACATGCTAAAGGCAGCTCTCCATCCCGGAGCTCCTCAGTCCTCTGACATGTACACAGATGCTACAATCACAATGCTATTTCACAACACAAGCCCCTTCAAAATGCTCTTCTTCAGTCACAACGAGAACAACTGATACCACAGCTAATACAGGCTTTTTTTTTTTTTTTCCACACGTGCCAGCGTTGTACGAGGCAGTTTGCAAGCCTCTCGTTTTTCAGACAAGCAGAGAGGTGGTCACCCTCCCAACGCCATTCGGAGAACTAATGGTGAAACCACAACTATAAACCAGATCTAGTCACAGATCTAGTCTCAGCTGTAACTCCTGACACTTGCCTAGTGTCAAACGACCCCGGCCCTTCCACGCCCCGAACCCACTCCTCACCACGCCGTCTTCCGCACCCAGGGCCTCCCAGGTCCCTAACTTCTAGTCACGTGGCCCAAAATGGGGGTCTGTCTTCCTTCCTACTGGATTTCCAATCCAGCCTGCTAAGGTTCCGGGACCACGCTCTGTTCCCGAGTTCTCTTCATTTCGTTTGCGATCGTCTGGAGTACGGCGATGCCTCGGTCATCCTTCCCTCAATGTCTGCAAACGAGTCCAAACAGAAACTCCCTAATTCATACTAAAGACAGTCAGAGCCTCCGGTTTTTTGACTCCTGGACTAGGACAGCGGAAGTGACAGAGCGGACGAAAAATACAGAGGCTCCTGGTCACGTGGTCGCAGTGCCCCGGTCACGTGGTCCAGGAACCTCCTCTCCAGTGACGTATTCGGTCAGGTGGCTCCAAGGTTCACTGGAGGGGGGTGGGTTGCCGCGCCCTTGGGCTTCGAGTTGGAGCCAGCCAACTCTCTCGGAGTGCAGGGACAATTAGGGGCCAGCTGAGGTCAGGAACGCAGCGACTGCCACGAGCCCGGATACTGCGCGCAGGTGCGGGTGGTACGCGGGGGGGTCCTGCTCCCCCGGCTCCCCCTTCGAGCTTCGGGATGGTCTGCGCCGGCAGCGCGGGAGGCTTGAAGTGCTGGGCGAGGCGCGCGCAGCTGTTAATGCCGCTTGTCAGCGCCGGGCCATGGACGCCCAGCAGGCGGAGGTCCGCGCCTTGGAGGCTGAGATCGCGGCCCTGCGGCGGGCGTGCGAGGAACCGCGGACGGCGGGGGAAGACAACTGGCGAGCGCAGTACGTACCCGCAGGCCCTGGGGACGGGCGAAGGGCTCGGCCGGCCGCGCACCCCCCGCCGTCTCCCGGACGCCAAGGGCTCCGCTGTCCACGCCCGGCCCCGCCTTAGCCGAGCGTCGGGCTGGTGGAGGAGAACGGAGGTCTTGGGCCCGTCTCCTTCGCAGGCTCCCGGGCGGGCGGCTGTGCGGCTTCCTGGCGTGCGTCACTGCGGGCACCTGAGGGGGCAGCTGGCACTGAGAGTGGGGCTCCCTTTGAGAAATAACTGAGGGTGGAAGCGTGCGGGAGACGCTGGGAGCGCTGCGCGGGCGTGGCGGGGCGTCCGCAGGTGTGGGGGTGTGTCGGGGGGGACTCAGAGGTGTGTGAGGACGCCCGCGGGTGGGTGTGGGGGACGGGCGCCCGCGGGTGCCGGATGCCCGCAGGTGTGTGGGGGGGCCTCCTGAGGGGTGGGCGGACGCCGGCGGTACAGAGGAGCAGGGGCGGGCTGCCGCTGCACCCCAGCCTAAGAGATACAGCGGCCTTTATGAGCACTCTTAATGCCTAGGACAGCCCTGAGGAAGGTGTCATTGTTAACCCTGTTTTAGAGTTAAGAAGACTGAGGCTCACGGAAGGGATATTGCTTGCCCACCAACCCCGGGGTGGGGGGGGGGAGTGATTAGTTAGATACGAGCGGGTTTGCAGCCCAAGAACCTAACTTGGAACCCCAGCCCCTTTGCTTAACTGAAGATGGAGGAGAGGAAGGATCTGTGGCGGTCAGTCAAGTTGCTTAAAAGAAGAAACTATCTTCATTTTTTCAGTCGAGACTGATTTGACTCAGGTGCAGAGAGAAAGAGATCCTCCTGCGCTAACTGGACCTGAGTCGGTAGAAAAGTGGGGAGGAGTTCAGCAGGAAATGCTCACGGGCATGGTGGATGGGATCGTGACAGTATAAGCTGTAACTGGTAAAAAGGGGAGAGAAGTGGGTGACCAGGGAACACCTGTGTTCCTCCACAAGTGAAGTCAATGAACTAAAGACGCGTGCTGCTCCAGGCTACTTCCCAGATCAGAAGCATTAGCATTCCTTGGGAGTTACATGGAAATACAGATCCTGGATCTATCCCACCTCCTGAGTCATAATATGCATTTTAACAAGACATCCCCGCTCCCCCGCATCACACACACTTAAGCATATTTGAAAGTTTGAGAAGCGCCTAGTAATACTGTGCAGAATAATGATTTCTTCACTGGCCACAAGATGTCGTTGTTAGCCCAGGAGAGCAGGACTGTGTCGACCATTCCTGTAATCGTGTCTTCTCAATGATCCAGTTGGGAAAGTTGGAAGAATCCAGATTGTGGAAGGCATTACATGTTAGTCCAGGGTATTTGGGTTTAACATCCAATTACTTTTTACTGTGGTGGAGAAGGAAGACTGGGACCCGTATACCAAGCTGTGTGTGTGTGTGGGGGGGGTGTTAAAATGTAACAAAATTTGTCCTCTTTTAACTTTTTTTTAAACCTACAGATGAGTGGTATTACATACACCGATAATGTTGAGGGACTATCACCACCACCCATCTTCCTTACTCTTTTCATCTTGTAAGACTGAAACTTTAGAACTTCTCATTCCGCACTCCCTTAGTCCTTGGCAATCATTGTTCTGCTTCCTGTCTGAGTTTGCTGCCTTTAGGTACTGCATATAAATGGACTCATACATATTTGTCTTTTTGTGACTGGTTTATTTCACTTACCATAATACCCTCAAGGTTTGTCCATATGGTAGCATAATGCAGAATTTCCTTTTTTCTTCAGGCCAGATAATATTCCTTTGTATGAATATACCACATTTTGTTTATCCTTTCATCTGTCAGTGGCTGTTGGGGTTACTTCCATATTTTCGTTATTGTCAATGATGCTCGTATCAACACGTGTATAAATCTCTCTTTTGAGACCCAGCTTTCCGTTCTTTTGGATATGGGGGGGTGGTGGCAAGAATTCCTGTCTCTTCAAAGGTCATCTAGCTGGACTAAGCATCAAATAGACATAAGACAGATAAACAGGAGAAATTCAAATTTAATAGGCATACATTTAAGGAATCCACATAGATATGAAAAGACTAGCAAAATGAGATATATGTCATTCTGAATGAAGGAAATGGGCTTGGGATCTGGAACTTCAGAGGAAAGGAATGCATTTCACAGGGCAGTAAAAAGAGAAGATGCTTAGTGATTAGATGTTTGTGGTACCATACAGATGGGTGGCTCAGATAAAATTTATCTCTGTTAATAACTCTTATTCTGGAGAAGACCCCCAATTTAAGTTGTTCTGTGTGGTTAAAGGAGCACAAAATTTTCTCTTGAGCCTGGAGGGCCTCAAGTGCCTTTAGCAAAATAATCCATATGCCAAAGTGGCACATTCTGGGAGAGGTCTGTTTTGACCCCTGCAGATGTGTACCAAGAAGTGGAATTGCTGGAATCTGTTTTTGATTTGTTGAGGAACTCCCACCCCCATACTGTTTTCCACAGTGGCTGTACCATTTTACATTTGCGCCATCTGCAGGAGGGTTCCAATTTTTCTATATCCTCAGTGAAGTTATTTCCCCCCCCTTTTTTTTTTTTGATAGTAGCCATTCTGATAGGTGTAAGATCAGTTCCCTAATGATTAGTGATGTTGATCATCTTTTTATGTATTTATTCGCCATCTTTTTGGGCCAGTCTCAGCCTGTCTGTGGTAATGCTATTGAATAGAAATGCCTGGAACCAGTGAGCTTCCCAGGGACCTTTTTCCCTTTTCCAAACCTATGTTATGATTGGACTGAACCTTGTGGTTCTTATGATTGCAAGATGTCCTTCAACAAGAACCTTTAGAAAGCTTTGAAGAAAAAAGTAGTTTATTATTTACGAGCCCTGGAATATACAAGACGTCCCCCTGTGGTCCACACTACCAGGTCATTAGTGCAGAGAGGGAGACAGGGAATGAGAGAACAGGACTAGGGTTCTGCTTTTATTGGTGTTGAGGGTGAGGGTCTAGAGTTTCAAGGGCTCGGTCTTTATTGGTAAACTTAAAACATAAGAATAAGAATATAAACACAGGAAGAAAAAAAAAACAAGTGGCCCAAATGGTCAGTTAGTGAAATTAACTAAGATCTCTAACGCAAAAGATTCTCAGTGTGGGAACGCAGCCTAGCTCTTTAGTCCTGTGGCTGGCAGTGTGTTTATTAGAAAGTTTTCTTCGAAGGGGATGAAGCAGATGCCTCTGCATTCAAAGCTTAAGTCAGGCGCTTGATTTAGGATAAGAAAAGCCAACTGTTAGGTTTTACGTTGTAGTCCGTCTTCTATCCTCTTTTGAGAAATGTCTGTTCAAGTCCTTTGGCCATTTTTGAGCAGGTTGTTTGGCTTCTGTTGCTTTAGGAATACTTAGATATGTGGAAATTAAACCTTTATCATACATGATTAGCAAGTATCTTTTCTCATTCTATGGGTTGCCTATTTATTCTCTTGATAGTGTCTTACATTGTACAATTCTTTATTTTTTTATTTTATTTTTTTAGAGATTCTATCCATTTACCTGACAGAGATCACAAGTAGGCAGAGAGGCAGGCAGAGGGAAAGGGGGAAGCAGGCTCCCCGCCAATCAGAAAGCCCGACATGGGGCTCAATCCCAGGACCCCGGGATCATGACCCAAGCCAAGGCAGAGGCTTTAACCCACTGAGCCACCCAGGCGCCCCATAATTCTTTAAGATGTTCATGAAATCCAGTTTGTCTATTTTTTTTCTTTTGTTATCTGTGCCTTTGCTGCTATGTCCAAGAAATCATTGCCCTGGCCAGTGTTATAAAGCTTTTATCCAATGTTTTCTTTAAGAGTTTTGTTTTAGGTCTTACGTTTAGATGTTTGATCCAGTATGAGTAATTTTTGTATGTGATGTTAGGGGAGGTTCCAACTTCATTCTTTTGCATGTAGATACTCAGTTTTTCCAGCACCATTTGAATCGTATTGGCAAGCTTATAAAAAATCATGTGATCATACACATGAGGGTTCATTTCTGGGTTCTCTTATTCCATTTCATTTATCTATCTGTTGTCTTTATGCAAATACTACACTGTTTTGATTACTGTACCTTTCAGTTTTGAAATCAGGAATTGTGAGTCCTCCAACTTCGTTCTTTATCAAGATTATTTTGGCTATTTTGGATCCCTTGAGATTCCGCATGAATCTTAGGATGGGTTTTTCTATTCCTGCAAAAAACCTCATTGGAATTTTGGTGGAGATTGCATTGAATCTGTAGATTGCATGGGAATAATATTGACATTTTAATAATATTATTTTCTAATCCATTAACATGAGCTGTGTTTCTATTTATATCAAATTTAATTTTTTTTCAGCGATGTTTTATGGTTTTCATTGTACAACTCTTTTACCTTCCGAAAGTAAATTCCTTCCTAAGGTTAATTCCTAAGTATTAATAGTTTTTGATGCTGTTGTAAATGAAATTGTTTTTGTAATTTGCCTTTCAGATTGTTCGTTGTTGGTTTATAGTGATTCATCTGAGTTTTGTGTGGTGATTTCGTATCCTGATACCTTGCTGAATTCATTTATTTTAACACTTGTTTTTGTGGACTCTTTGGGGTTGTGTATATGTAAGATTATACCATCTGTAAACACAGATAATTTTACTTCCTTTCCAATTTCGATGTCTTTTATTTCTGTTTCTTGCCTAATTGCTCTACCAAGAATTTCTAGAACCATGTTTCATTGGTGAAAGTGGACATCCTTACCTTTTTTCATACATGGCTTTAATTATGTTGGGATAATTTTCTTCTATTTCTAGTTTTTTAAAATATGTTATCATTAAAGTGTGTTAAATTTTGTCAAATGCTTTTTCTGCATTTCCCCTTCTTTCTGTTAATATGGTATATTACATTGATCCATTGTCCTATTTTGAACCATCCTTGTATTCCAGAAATAAATCCCACTTGGTCATGATGTGTAATCCCTTTAATATGCTTATTTTAATTTACTACTAATTTGCTGAGAGTTTTTACATTAATACTGAGAAATAATACTGGTCTGTAGGAAGTTGTGCTGGCCTGATAAATGAATTACAAGGTGTTCTCTTTTCAACTTTTTGGAGAAGTTTGGAAAGGATCAGTTAGTTTTTATTTATATGTTTGATAGAATTCACTCATGTAGTTATCAGGTTCAGGGCATCTTCTTTGTTAGAGATGTTTTTATTATGGATTCAATCATACTAGTTATAAGTCTATTCAAAGTTCTTATTTCTTTGTGATTTAATCTTCATAGGTTTTTTGTTCCTAGGAATTGAGCCATTTCAGATAGGTTATCCAATGTATTGGCATACTGCTATTTGTAATACTCTCATAGCCCTTTTTATTTTTGTAGAATTGCTCATGGCCCTACTTTCATTTCTGACTGTAATTTGTGTCCTGTTTTGTTTTTAAGTAAACTCTACACCCAACATGGGGTTTGAATTCATGACCAAGATCAAGATCAGGAGTCCCATGCTCTATTGCCTAAGCCAGCTAGTTGCCCCTTATCTTTTTCAGTCCATCTAGCTAAAGTTTTTGTCAATTTTATTGATCCTTTCAAAGAGTCAACTTGTGGTTTCATTCTATTGCCTATTTCATTTCTCTCTATTCTAATCTTTATTATCTTTTTCTTTTGGCTAGCTTTGGTTTAGTTCATTCTTTTTCTAGTTGTGATATTAGGTTGTTGATTTGGGATCTTAAATTTTAAGTGTGTATAGCTATGAATGCCCCCCTTAGTACGTCTTCTGCTGTGTCCCTTGAATTCTGGTATATTGTATTTTCATTTTTGTCTCTTAAGTATTTGCTCCTTTCCCCTGCAGTTTCTTCTTGAGTCTATTCTTTTAAAATCTGTTAATTTCCACAGTTTTGTGAATTTTTCAGTTTTCCTTCTGTTGATATCTAACCTCATTCCACTGTGGTTAGAGAAGATACTTTGTATGGATGAGTATAGTTAAAATACATAGAGACTTAATTTGTTGCCCAGTATATGATATGTCCTGGAAAATATCCCATGTGCACTTATGAAGAATTTATATATGTCTGTTAGATCTGTGTCTTGTGTAGAATGTTCTGTATATGTCTGTTAGATCTAATTGGTTTATTGTGTTATTTCTACTACTACTCTTTCCGATTTATCCTCTGTCTAGTTGTTCTGTACATTATTGTGAGTGGGGTATTGAAGTCTCCAATTATTATTTTGTTTTTTATTGAGGTGTAGTCGACATAGAAGATTATATTAGTTTCAGGTGTACAACATAATTATTTGATATTTGTACATATTACAACAGGATTATGACACTAAGTTGAATTAACATCCATACACAGAATTACAAGGTCTTTCTTCCTGTGATAGGAACTTTTGAGATTTAGTAACCTATCAACCTTCAAATGTATAATTCATTAATTATAGTTATCATGCTGTACATTATATCCCCAGGCCTTTTTAAGTTTATTACTGGAAGTTTGTGCCCTTTGACCACCTTCATCCATTTTCCCAAACCCCCTCACCCTTGCCCCTGGCAACCATCAATCTACTCTGTATTTCTATGAGCTTAGGGTTTTTAAGATTCTGCATATAAGTGAGATCATATAGTGTTTGTCTATCTAATCTGACTTAATTCATTAAGCATAATGCCCTCAAGAACCATCCATGTAGTCACAAATGACAGGATTTTCTTCTTTTTATGTGATTGTCATTCACTTTTGTAATATACACCACATCTTCTTTGTTCATTTATCTGTTGACAGTTGTTTCCATGGCTTGGCTATTGTAAATAATTCTGCAGTGAACATAAGGTTGCATATATCCTACTGAGTTAGTGTTTTTGTTTCATTCAGATAAATACCCAGAAGTGGAATTGCTGGTTCTTTATGGTATTTCTATTTTTAATTTTTTGAGGAAACTTCATACTGTTTTCTATAGTTGTACACCAATTTATATTACTACCAACACTGCAGAAGGATTCCTTTTTCTACACATTCTTGCCAACTCTTTATTTCTTGTGTTTATAATAGCCATTCTGACAGGTATGAGGTAATCTATCTCATGGTTTTGACTTGCATTTCTGTGATGGCTAGTGACGTTGAGAATCTTTTGTAGGTATCTGTTGGCCAGCTGTATATTTTCTTTGGAAAAATTTCTATTCAGATTTCCTTCCCCCTTCCCTTTATTTTTTTTTTTTTTGGAGAGAGAGTACATGTGGGGGGCGGGGGGAGAGGCAGCTAGAAAAGGGGAGGAGATACTTTTTTTTTTTTTAAGATTTTATTTATTTATTTGTGAGAGAAAGAGAGAGAGAGAGAGCACAAGCAGGCAGAGAGGCAGGCAGAGGGAGAAGCAGGCTCCCCGCTGAACAAGGAGCCCGATTCAGGACTCGATCCCAGGACCCTGGAATCATGACCTGAGCTGAAGGCAGCCACTTAACTGACTGAGCCCCGAGTCATCCCATATCTTCCCATTTTTTTTTTAAAGATTTTATTTATTTATTTGACAGACAGAGATCACAAGTAGGCAGAGAGGCAGGCAGAGAGAGAGGAAGGGAAGCAGGCTCCCCGCTGAGCAGAGAGCCCGATGCAGGACTTGATCCCAGGACCCTGAGATCATGACCTGAGCCGAAGGCAGCGGCTTAACCCACTGAGCCACCCAGGCGCCCTCTTCCCGTTTTTTTAAACAGATTTTTTTTCTTTTGCTACTGAGTTATATGAATTCTTTATATATTTTGGCTGTTAACCCCTTGGCAGATAACCTGTTTTGCAAATATATTCTCCCGTTTCATAATAAGCCTTTTCATTTTACTGATGATTTAATTGTCTATAGAGAAATTGTTTAGTTTGATGTGGTCCCACTTGTTGATTTTTGCTTTTGTTGCATTTGCTTTTGATAGCAAATTAAAAAAGTCAGCACCAAGACTGGGGAGTTTACTGCCTCTGTTTTCTTCTAGGAGTTTCATAGTTTCAGGTCTTATCCTCAAGTCTTTAGCCCATTTTGAGGTAATTTTTGTGTATTGTGTAAGGTCTTGGCCCAGTTTCATTCTTTTACATTGACTACCCAGTTTTCCCACTTTTGTTGAAGAGACCATTCTTTTGCCATTATATATTCTTGGCTGGTCATAAATTAATTGACCATATGTGCGTGTGTTTATTTCTAGGTTCTTTATTCTGTTCTATTGATCTGTATGTCTGTTTTTATGTCAATACCACAATATTTTGATTACTATAGCCTGTAATATAGTGTGAAATTGGGAAGTGTGATGCCTCCAGCATTGTTCTTTCTCAGAATAGTTTTAGCTATTTGGGGTCTTTGTGCTTCCATACACATGTTAGGATTGTCTTTTCTATTTCTATGAAAATGCCATTGGAATTCTGATGGGGAATACGTTGAATTTGTAGATTGCTTTGGGTAGTATGAATGTTTTAACAGTATTAGTTTTTCCAATCCATGAACATGTGCCTTCAGTTTCTTTCACCAATGTCTCATAGTTTTCAGGGTACAGATTTTTACCTCATTGCTTAAATTTATTCCTAGGTATTATACTCTTTTTTTTTTTTAAAAGATTTTATTTATTTGTTTGACAGACAGAGATCACAAGAAGGCAGGGAGGCAGGCAGAGAGAGAGGAAGGGAAGCAATCTCCCCGCAGAGCAGAGAGCTCCTTACTTGTTTTAGAAGTTAGAGTTAAGGGATGTTGGATGGCTCAGTCGATTAAGTGTCTGACTTTTGATTTTGGCTCAGGTCTTGATCTCAGGTTTGTGAGTTCAAATCCCATGTTAAGCTCCACACTGGGCATGGAGCCTACTTAGAAAAATAATTTGAGATGTCTTGGGATATCAGACATTCAATTTGGAATATTTTAAACGTTCCAGCTTGAAAAGACATTTTAATGTTGTAAAGTATTCTTGTTATTTATTTTATAATTGTTTTTAATAGGTAGAAATATAGTAGTATATTTTCATTAGCTTTGTGTTAATTTGAGATTAAAAATTACAGTGTTAGTAGCCATATTGGTTTTTAGAGAAATCAGTCAGTTTTCAACAGAAAAAAGTAAGAAAGACAGGGCGCCTGGGTGCCTCAGTTGTTAAGCATCTGCCTTTGGCTCCAGTCATTATCTCAGTGTCCTGGGATCACGCCCTGCATCAGGCTTTCTGCTTGGCGGAAAGCCTGCTTCTCCCTCTCCCACTCTTCCTGCTTGTGTTCCCTGCCTCGCTATGTCTCTCTGTCAAATAAATAAATAAAATTTTTACCAAAAGATAAAAATACAAAAGAAGACAAAATAGGAATGGTTTCAGAAATTTAGTTATTAGATAAAACACTTGTTAGTGATTTCTTCACTGGAGTAATTATTTGTTATATTTGCTTTTTAGAAAATCACTTCGAGAAATGTATCAATCAGATTCTGAAGGATGGGCCTCTTCAAAAGATCTGAGAAGTCATCTTGGACATTTAGAATCAGAACTTCTTTTTCTAAGCACACTTACTGGCATCAGTATAAGAAATTACTCCATGAATACAGAGGTCCTAACAAATACTGAGAAGACAGAGAAGAGTAAGTATTAATTTTAATTTTGAAGTGATGTTGAAGCTTATCTTATTATGCATAAGAAATTGGCTGTAATGGCATTGAATTAAAGTTCTATAGGGTAGGGGCACCTGGGCTGCTCATTCGGTTAAGGGTTCGACTCTTGATTTTGCCTCAGGTCATAATCTCAGGGTCGTGGGATTGAACCCTGTGTTGGGCTCCACACTCACTGGATTCTCTCTCTCCCTCTGCCCTCTCCCTGCTCTCCCATGGGTTTTCTCCCTCTCTCTAAAAATAAATAAATCTTAAAAAAAAATTTTGTAAGATAACTATATGACCTTCTATATGACTGTGTGGTTGTGGTAAACTTGTTTTGTCAGGTATCTTGAACATCACAGTGTGCATAATACTCTTTAAAAGCTGGCTGAGGTAGATATTAAGGAAGACACAGGCTTTATCATTAAGTATCTTAATACAAGTAATAGGTAAGTGAAAGAACAACAGTACCATTAATTTGTAAATTTTTTTTTTTTTTAATATTTATTCATTTGAGAGAAAGAGAGAGCACAAGCAGAGGGAGAGGAGGAAGGGCGTCTGCTGAGCTGGGAGCCCAATGTGCGGCTCAAACCCAGGCCCTGGAAATCATGACCTGAGCCGAAGGCAGATACTTAACCTATTTGAGTGACCTAGGCGCCCCTAATTTGTAAATCGTAAGAGTTGTTCACTACTGACGTGAAACCTGCCTCACCTACAGTGCTCTTTTCCTACCAAACGTGGCCTGTGACCAAGATAAATATTTCAGGAGCTAGACCATTTTCAAGAGGAGGGTTTCTGGTCCCAATGACTAAGTTTTATTGCCAAGGGCCTGTGATGCAGTAACTTATAAAGGGAAGCTAATTCAGCTGTGCATTGGAATTTGGGAACTTTAGACCTGGGTGGTTCAGTTGGTTAGGCATCTGCTTTGGCTCAGGTCATGATCCTGGGGTTCTGGGATTGAGCCCTGTTTCGGGCTCCCTGCTCAGCATGGAGTCACCTTCTCCTTCTGCCCCCTCCCTGACTTGTACTCACTCTTTCTCAAATAAATAAATAAAATCTTAAAGAAAAAAAAAGGTCACTTTTAGAATTGCTTCCTGACTTTTCCACTGACATAACTAACCCTCATGAAGGGAAGGTAGTGAGTTGATCCTCAGAGGGTCTTTGGTAGCTCGCCTCAGTGAAAGTCTGAAATACAAAGAGAAATGGGTTATAGGAATTTAGACATTTCAGATACCTGAAGAGGTGGAGTACAGAGAGGACGGGAGAGTGAGTTGAGGCCAGATGCCAGCCTAGCTAGTGCAGAAATCTTCATCTTCCCGCTTTGAGTCTTCCTAAGTTGACCTCCTCTGCAGAGGTACTTGTGCTGCCTATTCAGGATGTGCTTTTTTGGGGGAAGATTTTATTTGTTTGAGAGAGAGAGAGCATGAGCAGAGGGAGAGAGAGAAGCAGATTCCCCGATGAACAGGGAGCCCCTTGTGGATAGGGCTTGATCTCATGACTCTGAGATCATGACCTGAGCCATGGGCAGATGCTTACCCAACTGAACCACCCAAGTGCCCCCTTTGAGTATGCTTTTGAGTAGGCTTAATATTGAGCTTCCCCCATTGCTGGCTTAGGTTTTAATTTTTCTGGGTCTGCCAGATTAGTTCCTTTCTTTGTAATATCTAGCTCATCCATCTGATTTCCAGTTTCCAAACTTGTTGCTCTCCTTTTTCTTCTTTATTCTTGTAGAGTTGTGCTCTTCTAAAAATACCTTTGTTAACAAAGTCAAAATAGTGGTTATCTCTGGGGTAGGTAGTATATAGACTCCAGAAGGGCGTGAGAGAAAATTATGGTTTATTTAAAAATTTCTTTATCTTTATTTAAGTTGTAGTTACATGGAAAACACATGTTAAAAAATACTACATTAAAAAATACTGAGTTGCATTGAAGTATAAAATTTTGAAAGATAACAAGTAAATAGGTGGATTCCATTTAGTGTTTTTAAGTAGAATTAGATAATGTTGAAAAAAAACCTCCATCTAACAGTTGTAATTCAAACTTGTGTAGGGTAGCATCTTTCTTCTTTTTTTTTTTTTTTTTTTTTTTTTGGAGTGAGAACTCAAATGGGGAAAGGTACAAAGAGAGAGGGAGAGAGAATCTTAAGCAGATTCCATGCTCAGGGCAGAGCCCAATGCAGGGCTTGATCTCACGACCCTTAGATCATGACCTGATCTGAAATCAAAGAGTTGGATGCTTAACCACCTGAGCCACATGGGTGCTCCTATACTAGCATGTCTTACTATAATCTTTAGTATAACTGAGAAGTAGAAAGTATGAGTTACCTTTAATCCAACTTTGCCAAGGTAAATCAATTTGGTGCACATTCTTTGAGATATTTGCAATGTAAATACTAACATAAACTCTCCCTCATGTACTCACATGTATTAGAAATATTCACAAAAAATTAATAGGCATTTGAAGGAAACTTATTTGCAATAAAACATTTTTTTTTCTGATTTATAGGTATAACGAAAGTTCTGCAGAGACACAGATTATCAGGAAATTGCCAAATGATTACATTTCAACTTGAATTTCAGATTCTGGAAATCCAGGTAAATGGAGTCTGTTGTAGTAATAGAGATTCTGCTGTGATTAAGCGTTTCCCACACCCCAGCCTTCAGTAGTGGCTGAGCTGAGGAGGGATTCGTGAACCACAGCCCTCTTGTAGTACGTATGCTTGTACAAAGTGATACCATTTTTACAGTATAACCGCCCTGGCAACTGCATATGAGAGGATCATTGCTGAAGGTCTAGGTGCTCTATTGGAAGGCAGATAGCAAGTTCCTCCTCGTCTCTCAGAGCAGGCCCCAAGGTCATGGGAACAGTCCTGGATACCCTCATATGCCAGCCATGCATTATTTATTAGTTATCTGCTGGTGCTTAACAAATTTTCCAAAATTTAATGCCTTTGAACAAGAAAATGTTTGTCTCACCCATTTTCTGTGGGTCAGAGATTTGAAAACAGCTGAGTTGTGTGTTCTTGCTCAGGGCCTCTCATGAAGTTCTGGTCATTTGGAACCGCAGCCACCTGAAGACTGCTCAGGGCTGGCAGCTTAGACTCCAAAGTGGTTTGTGGTTACTCCAGCAGGTTACACTGGACTGCTAAGACACAATGCAGGAGGAAGACACTTCTGGCTAAGACTTTGCATAAAATCAGGAAACAGAATGATAATGTGCAGCATATGGCCAGGGTTGGGCAGAACAAGGTCAGAAACCTTCCAACGTATGTCTCCAAGAAGAGTGAGATCCAGGCATAATTTCAAGAACTGACTTGGCCTAGGCACAAACTATGATAGCAGAAAACAGTTCAACCAGTTTGTTTTGTGAACTTGGCCTACGAGGAGTATGTGTAAAGGAAACTCCCAGGGAAGGGAGGGCAGACTATCTTGCCTTCAACTTATCAGATAACCGAAGCAGATGTGATCATTTGTCATAACCCAAGTCCTATGGACAAGAAGCTTGCTTATATTCATAGTCATGTACCAGAATTCCTGGTCCCAGTCCTCAGCCACAAAAACAGCCCTGAGTTTTCCCGTTTTGTATGGAACAAGGATTGATGTCAGATAATCAGGACCCTGCCTCCTTAAGGTGTTAGATAGCCACACCAACTTGTCAAGAGTGCCTGCTACCAAGTATCTGGGCTAGAGGTTTTGCTTCTCGAGAACTCTTTGCAGTCCATATCCATGGTTGCTGCCACTGGCCCTGGCAGACTGGGAAAGGGCTATAGGATGTCTGGGCCCTTCATCTGATGATGGAGCTCCCAGCTTGCTCCCACCTCAGAGCATTCTCCCTTCAACACTACCGAGGTGACTAAGAGCATTCAGAGTGTATCATTGCCAAGGCTAGTTGAGCAGGATATGACATGGGGCATGGATGATGAGAGCCCTTAGGGGAAGTAAACATTTCCAGGTTGTCACCAGGCCTGTGCAGGGTCTGTGCAGGGTCACCAAGGTGAAATTATTGTTCTGCATGACCTCAAAGATCATCTGCTGAAGACTGAAAAAGAATGTGGATACAAATGGATTGGTCTCATTTGGGATAGTCTGTGTCAGGACCCACGCTTCTCTTTTGGATAGCCCAGGAGCTCCTGGATGTTGTCCCATCACAAAAGGTTGCATAGGCATACCAACTGAATTTTTTTCTTTTTGCAGCTCATATGATCTTAAATTCAGAGTGGTGATACACCACATACTTACCTGCGTCTTGGCCTCCATTAATAGGCTAGGCCTATAGTCCACATCAGGTTGATGGGAGTCATAGGCCCAAGGTCCATCTCCGTGTGTGAGGACATTTGTACTGGCAGCGTATACATTGCCCCAGAAACTGCCTAGTAGCCTTGGGGTTGTATAGGCTATTTCTGCTATTAGTGTTTGTCTTTTACACAGTCATTCCAGCAGATATTTGGAAAGTAGCTAGACGATTGGCAAAGCTAGGTTCGTCCTTGGGAGGCTTAACCATAAGTCCAACTGAACAGAGGCTAGTCCTCTGAAGTTGACCTGAACCAACTGCTCATTGGAGCTGTACATTCCAGAATGGGGTGTCCCCAAAGATTGATTAGCCTGTTCATTAGGGGGACTATGGCCTAAGAGATAAAATAGACTGCAGTTGTTTTTTTTTTTTAAATATTTTATTTATTTATTCGAGAGAGAGACAGAGCATGAGCGAGGAGAAGCAGACTCCCCATGGAGCTGGGAGCCCGATGTGGGACTTGATCCTGGGACTCCAGGATCATGACCTGAGCTGAAGGCAGTCACTTAACCAACTGAGCCACCCAGGTGCCCTAGACTAACTTCATTTTAAGTTGTGTATTTTGGTCACTTAAGCCTCTGAAGGAAACGGTTGTTTGATCCCATTATGAATCAGATCAAGGATAACATCACAGTTTGGGGATATATTTTATACCATAATATGCTTCTGAAGAATGGCTACAGCCTCACCCAAGGCATTCTGTGCTTGAACTGACACTGGGAAATCCCATAGTGGTTTGGCTTGCTGGTCCTATGTGGCTGTGTGTGGCAGTACAGACAAGACTGGAGCCATGTGGGCCTTGCTGCAGTGGCCATGTTCCCTGCCTTCTACCGGGCAGTGGTGGCACCAGTCCATAGCTAATGTTGTTATTAATAATATATTGAGCTTAACATTATGATCCCATACCACCAAAGCATGATTGTAAATTTTGTAACCATTTAGTAATGGCTTAAAATGTACTATTATCTCACATGCTGAATAAATTAGAATTAGTTGAGCTGCGTATGACAGAAAACTTAAAGGTAGATCAAAGTACTAGAAGTTTCTCTATTGCTTAAACAAAATTGGTTTTTGTGTTTTTTTTTTTCTTTTTCTTTAAACCAAATTGTAAGGTAAGTTTTCTAGAGCTAGTATGGTGACCTCATGAATATCAGGCTCTGCCATTACCCATGTGACTTCCAAATCATGGTGTGATGATCAATGGAGCACTTCAGGTGTTGGGCAGGGGGATGGGCAATCAAGGGCTTAGCTTTTCTAGCTTTCTGGAAGTTGTAACATCCGTCATTCACCTACATTCTATTGGCCAATAATGTCCTACAAAGGAGGCTGGAAATTCAGTCTTCATTATGCATGGCCATGACACCAGTGAAAAATTGGTACAAGAAAGAAGTAGAAGTGCTGGGAACTACCAGTAGTTCCTGTCTCATGCTTTGGGGGATGCAGGGAGAAAAATCTGAGGAGAGGAACAGTAGATATTCTTTGATAGATGAAGAACACAGTAGCTGTTGAATCTCTAAAGACATGTAAGTTGTTATTGTTCACATTCAATATAATAGGAATCTTTGAACTGCTCAGTTTTACTTAATTTGCTACAGACTTTCCCTGGCTATGTTAACAAACAATTGGTTTTTCTCTGTGCCTTTCCAAAGTTCTGATTTTTCTTGAGGACCATACTAAATAAGATGTTGCACACAAACAACTCTCAAATAAGGAAGATTTTAGGAATAAGTCATATGTGGGATTCATGGGGTTTCATGGAGGAGTAGGAAACAAGGGACTATCTATATTTCTTTGTTGTTTGGAATTCAAATATAATGAGCTGATGTGAATTTTTTAAAAAAGTTATTATTTAATGGTAAATCCTCACATTCTAGGCTTTATTCGTGTAACTATGCCTTTAAACTAGAATTGCTAGGTCTTAGGAGATGTACATGTAAGTTCTCATAGTACCAGATTGCCTTCTAAAGAGGTTTTACCGTTTTACATGTGGAGCTATGTATTTTAGTCATATATATATATATATATATAAAAATATATAACTATTTTACATGTTGAGCATATAAAATAGTAATAGTTTATAGTTGAGACTAATAGGAAAAAAAGGTAAAGATACAACAAAGCTTCTGTGTTCTTAAAGATTTTTTTTTAAATGGAATTTCCACTAGAGGGAGATGTTTAACCACTAGAAAATTGAAAGTAACCTAAATAATAAAACTATCTTGTTTAAAGAATATTGTTGTAATAAAATCATAGTAATACAATATGAGAACCATAAGTGACCATATAGACTATTAAGCTCATTCCCTTTATTTTAAAGAGAAATACATAAACGGAGTTTGAATGATTACCCATGTTGTCACACTTGTTACTCAGAGGTGGTTGGAATATACAGTTCTGTTCTCCAGATTTACTGTCTGTTGTTGTAAGAACGTCAGAATTAACATGTGTCAGTATTCATACTCCGTACAGTATAATAAATCAGATCAGTGTCAGTTTGTAGGGAAAACGGCTAAGAATGTTTTCGTAACTACTCTTCCTGAAACCCAGTAAAACAAAGTGATTCCAGAGTAAGGAAATTTTTAATTAATTTCTGGTCTTGGCACATCCTCAAGTACTGAGAGCTATTAAAAATAGGGGTGCCTGGGTCGCTTGGTTGCGCATCCAACTTTTCATTTTGGCTCAGGTCATGATATCAGGGTCATGGATTGGGCCTCGTGTCAGCTTCCATGCTCAGTGTAGAGTCTGCTTGTCCGTCTCTCTCTGCTATCCCTCCCGGGTGTGCTCTTGTTCTCTCTCTCTCTCTAAAATAAACAAATAAAATCTTAAAAATGGGGCACCTGGGTGGTTTAGTTGGTTAAGAATCTGCCTTTGGCTCAGGTCATGATCCTGGAGACCCAGGATCAAGCCCTGTATCCAGCTCCCTGCTCAGCAGGGAGTCTGCTTCTCCCTCTCACTCTGCTTCTCCCCTGCTAGTGCTTGCTTTCTCGCTCACTCTCTTAAATAAATAAAATCTTTTAAAAACCTACATAAAATAAAAATGAAATAGACTCCTTGAATGTCACAGTAGTTTGAGACACAATTAATAGCTAGGGCAGTGTTGAATGATAAATTTCATCTTCATCATAAGGCCAATCATACAAGATTGGGAGAGGAAGCTGTTTCATGTAATGCATAAAAGTCAGCAAAATTGAAGAAACAGAGGAATTATATTCGAAACTAAAGAAAAAGATAAAACTTTAGAAAAAACTTTGATGAAATGGAGATAATAATTTACTTGAAAGGAGATCAAAGTAATGGTCATAAC